GGCCCGCGATTGGCCGCCCCGCCCTCTATGCTAGTTGGGCTGGCTCTCTTGAGGAAGACAGAGGTCGCCCGGAGCAGGCTGTCTCAGTTATTGGGAGAAGCTGTCCGACCTTTGCTTCCGGACCCCAAGACTACAACCAGGATCGCGCCCGCGGCTGGCTGCGGCTGCGAGCTCCTGTCTGCCCGGGAGACCGTGAGGGGGCCGCCGGAGGCACAGACCGCGCAGAGACGGAGGCGCCCGTGTTCCTCTCCCCGGTAGCTGCCGGCGTTTGTCCCGGCCTGTCGGAGGTGACAGCAGAGGGCGAAGCCCTTCTGTGTGTCTTTCGAGTCACAGCCATCGTGTGTTTGGTTAGGGGGTGGGTGGCGGTGAAAGGAGCAACACTGCAAGTTAGAAAATTCCGTACAGGCGTTGCGGCCTTTGCGAGGGTCATTTTTCCTTTAGGAACGGGGCTCAGGGACTCAGCAGGGACCCGGGTTTCGTACCGAGGCCGAAGTGGGGGTGGGCATGGGCTGACCTTGAGGAGCAAGAGGTTGTCAGTTTGGCCACGCGACCCTTCTCCGCCCTCTTGGCAAAGCGCGCAGATGGTGTCCAGCCTTGCGACCTGTAGCGATCTGATCTCTAAGGAGTTGAGGTGTCTCTTTCCTCCCAGTGTTCGAAAGGTCCTTCGCGGATCTGAGTTCCTTCCCCTTTTGCTCTGGCCCCACAGGAGGTGCGGACGCATCAAAGTCTCCACCTCAGTCCCTTGTTCTGTACTCTGACTCTGAGTCAGAAAACAAAAACAAAAACAAAAAAACCCCAGGAGATTCTCTGGCCACGCTTGCCTGGGCTAGCCACAAGTGATGAATCCTGAAGTCACTGGCCGCCCAGAACGCCACAAAATCGTGGAAATGGAGGGTGGGTAGAGACGGCCCTGGTTCCAGAGAGCTCAGTCAGGCGGGCACAGGCCCTCACTGGTTTTTACTGTGACTAACCCTCCCTCAACCCTAAAGCATTTTGAAGGGGCGCCAAACTTGGACGACACTGAACCGAGCGGGAGTGCAGGGTGGAGGTGTCACCAAATTAGTTCTGTTCCCGCTCTTCTTAGGAAGTTTCACTGGAAACCGGTTTATTTGAATAAAAACTAGTTATCTGTGTTATTGATGCTTTTCTAAAGCCCTTCGATGTTCTGCTTCCCTCCCCAATCCCAACTTCTCGCTGATCTTTCTGGGTATATTCACTACAAAGAGCAAAAGTGCTGTCGTCGTTGCCGGTTTCCAAAGCCTTTACAGCACTGCCTCTCCATAAAGTTTCCTCAGACCCTCCCAGCTCAGGGCTAACGTCGGAGGAAGAATATGAAGCTCTAGGAGTAGCACTTAAGATGCAGTGTCCAGGTGAAGGGTCTTAGCTAGGAAGAGGAGGGCTTATGGAGAGCCGACAGGTACCTGTGGGTTTTTTCAGTGATCAGCAGTCCTCCCACACAAAGCATCAGGGAGGCGCGCGCGCACCTTCCCCCCCGCCCCCCAACTCCCCATACACGGCGTTTCCCTACACGGCCGCTAGAGGGAGGACCGCCGGGCGTTCGGGCTAGATGGCACAAACGTGGAGCCTGCTCTCGGGCAGATTTTGTATTTGTCACTTTTCCAAGGCTTGGAGTGACTGTGATCAAGGGAAATCTACCCTGGTTAGATTGGAACTGCATAAAGGGGAAAAATATGTGTTATCTGTCCTTCACAACCGCAGGTTCTTTTGGTCTTGGGACTTTATATTCTTCTATCCCTTCTTCACTATGCTGGTTGTTGCAAGTCTGAGGGTGTCCAGAATGGAGCCAGGACACCTAATCACCTAATAAATGCACTCAGTTGATAATTTCTTTCTTTTTTTTTTTTGGAAGAGAAATTTAGGAAAGGGCCATGGAAATGGGAACTCTACTTTCTGAATTATTTTTCCACTTCTATTTATTTTTACTCTATAACTTCAAAAATGTAGCTGCTATATCATTTTCTGGCAAAAATGTAAAAATCAGTTGAAAACAGAATTTTACAAAGGATAAAGAAACAAAATCCTCTTTTCATCACATTTCTAATTGTGAATTTAATTTCTCACCGCCAACCTGGAAAGTTACAAAAACGTTAGAAAATGCCACTGAAAGTAACGTATTACTCCAATTTACTTCCTTGTGCAAAGGCTCTTAAGTTACTAATGATATGAGTGAAAATCACCCAAGAAAAAGAGCAAGGGTCATTTTTTACACGTCAAATAATTTCGTCCATTGTAACTTTGAATTAGGAAGTAGGCATGTGGAGGTTAAGGGAAGATTTGACTACTAATGTCTTGATTGGAATTTCAAGATTGAAAAAAAAATCTAATCCCGTTTACCTAAAAGGCATCTCGGTGGATTTCAACCAACTTTGTGAAATGAATCAGAATGATGACGCAAACCAGAGCGAAAGAGGAAAGTGATTTCCCTTAAAACAAGGTGCTGAGAGCGCCTTGGTGACCCAATACTGGGTGCGCGCGCGCGTAGAGTAGCCAGACCGCTCTGCACGCAGCTCTGATTCTGTTCAATTCGGCAAGCGCGCCCACCGCAGAAGTGCCACCGGTATTTCGTTTCCGATGATGGGCTCTGGGGGTTGACACTCCGCAGCTCCAATAGCGCCGTTTTCTCCCCGAAGTCAGTCACTCAACCGCGCAAGCAGGTCGCTCTCGGCGCGCTACAGCCTGCGGGGTGGGGAACTCTGGCGCTCACCCCGCGAGCTCAGCTGGTGCTGACGTCCGTTCAGGCCCTTAAACGTGTTTGTCCCTGCTCAGGAGGGAACAGACTTTGTAGCAGTCACTTTGCCCGAGGGGAGTCGCGTTTCTGCTCTTGAGGTGGCAGCTCCAGTTCCCCTCACTCTTCCTGGATCTGCGTTTATCTCTGTCCTCTTTGCACCGACTCCCCGCCAGCCTCTCCAGCGGGAGGCGCATTTGGTATTTTCACCTCAGGAGAGAACCAACAGGGCTTCCCATGCCCTGTGCTTTTCCTGTGGACTCGGAAGACCAGAGACTACGGGTGCGCTCGGGGATCGCTCAAGGAGCAGGGAGCTTCCTCTCCCTGATTTTAGTAGGGGGTGATTTATCTCCGAGCTGGTGAAACCGTCCTCGCCGCTCCGGCAACTGCAACTTGTTTTGGTTTCTTCTCAGTCCTGAGTGTGCGGTTCCAACATCAAAGTTTTTCTTCCCTTACCCGAAAAATCTATCCGTTGAATCCATTCTCCTCCCTACGCGTTGTCTCCGCCAGGCCTCCTCGCTGTGCGGTGAGTGGATAGCGGGGCGCGCAGTGTGGCAGCGGCGGCGGAGATTGGAGCGATCCGGCAGAGCCGAAGAGAAGGAGCTGCTGCTGGGGGCTCCCTGGCCCCTGGGTAACGCTTTGCCAGGCGAAAGAGCTGGGTAAGAGCACAGAAGAGTCGGAACCTTCCGGGACGCTGGTGCCTAAAAACTGGATTTTAATCACCATCCTGGTTGCCCATCTCTGTCCCTTTTCTCATTTGGTAACTAGTCGAGAGAAGCGCTTGGCACCAGCGCTCTGCGGGACCCAAGCTCCCGGCTGCTAGGGACCCGAGTGTCCGCTGCTGCGGAAGGAGCGGAGGGGAGGACGCCAGCGGATGCTTACTGGAGCCTGGAGGTAGGCAAAGGGGTGGGATCCTGATTCTAGCGCTCAGCCCAGATTCCAAAAGGGTGTCTGGTTTCAAGGAGCTGAGGCACTCTTCTCCCCCTCATTTCCCATCACACCCTCCCCTTTTCGGATTCAGGCTCAACAACGACCAGATTCACAGCACTTTCAAGGTGGACTGCTTTCCGCCGCTCATTGCCTGAATGCCTTGCTCTTTGCACTTGATTGTGTTGGTATTTGAGCTTCTCCAGGAAGTTAATAGCAGATTCTGAGAAGGTCCAACTTGATTTTATTCAGTTTCTTAAAGGATGTATTTGCTGTGGGTAAGAATTATGGGAAATACATATCAGTGTCATATACGACTGCAATAACAGCTTGGAAATCATCTTCATCCCCCCCCCCAAAAGTTTTCCCCGTTCAAGTTTTTGTATTTCCCGGAAACAGTGCATGGACATTTGATATGTTTCATTATATATAAACTGGGGAGGGGGCGCCCCTTATATTTTTAAAGTGCAAGATATCAAGGACATTGTAGTTTCTTTTCTTTCTTTCTTTTCCCCCTATGCTGCCCATGTAACAGAGCACTACGAGTGTGGAGAGAATGGAACACTTTTAAAATCTGGGGAAATGGTGAAAGACTTTGTTGTTCCCAGCTTTGCTTTAAGTTTTTCTTTAAATACCTGATCTTTTTTGGTTGAGAGGTAATTTGGGGTAAGCCTGGACTAATATCATGGGTGCAATTCAGCATGGTAAGATTTTGTATGACGATCATGTAATTGATCCTATAGTCATATGTTAGTTAATGGCAGAAATTGTATAAGATGATAGAAACAGCCCTTGATTTTTTGGCAAACAATATTTTTGGACAGTGGGGAATTTTTTTTAATCAATATTAAAATTTACTTGGAGAATATGAATGCATTGATGAAAATAGAAAGGCAAGTTAACTTTAAGAGGGTGGTTTATTGAAAATCAGTTGCCTCAGATTTTGTATCGACATATGGTAATCAGTGAACTAAATGAACCAGTTAGTATTCCGAACTTGCAATACTTGGCTCTGTAGAAAGACTGCTGTTACATTTCATTTTCAATCTCATTTGTGGGAATAGAATAATGTTGGATGGGTTTATTAACTTCCTCACACGAGTGTGCTGTAGATTCCAAGATATCCTGTAGAGCAGAGAGAGACAAGGTCCAAGATCTGGCCTCATTACACCTTACCATCTCTTCCCTGCTAGGTATCCTTCACATAAGCTGAAACTAGTGGAATCTAGAGCTCCTGCCTCTCCTTTTCTCCCTCCACACACTTGTAGCTTCCAATCTGGACCTAAATCTCCCTGAAATAGGCCCTGTCACTCATATATTCTTCCTCACAGGGGAGCTTGGAGTTGGGGCTGCCCTGAAAAGAAATAAGTTAATACCTCAATAGTAAATTTTATGCAGTTGTTGGGTAGATACTGAGTGTACCCAGGCTTCCTGCTAGTCCAGGTTGCGGGGTGAAGGGGAGGCTACAGCACAACTGAAGCGGTGAGACAGTAGCTAGGAACATGGATTGTACTTAAGGAGAACTGGAGCAGTGTGGAAGAGAAGGAATAAAGCTAAAATCTGAGGGTGGTGTGTGTGTGTGTGTGTGCGTGTGTGCACATGCACGTGTGTGTAGAGGGATGGATTATCTTCAGCAGGAATCAGCTGTATCTTAGATCCGCACAAGCAAGTTTATCTCAAAGCTCAGACTCTGCTTGATAAAAGCTTTAAAAAGAATTGAGTCCCACGAAAATAAACAACTCTCATTTGTAGTCATTGACTTTCAAATAAACTCTTCAGTCCTAGGGTCTAAAACAGTTTTCTCAAATTTGAGTGCCTAAGAATGCATAACAATTGAGATTTATGACCCCTAACGCACGAGAAATTGGTTCAAGAAGATCCAATTAACTGCATGTTTAACACCATGGGTGATTCCAATTCTCCTAGTTCAAAAGTTATCTTGTGAAAAATATAAACTTGGTGCTAATGAACTTGCTTTTGTTCAGAAAGGTGTAATACAATCATATTAATCTAAAAAGTTTTCTTAGTTTTTATCTTTTGAATTTTCTTTGTTTTTCATTGTCAATGCCATTATTATTGTCAGTCTGCCCTGTTACAAGACGGCTGTCCTCAAATACCAAACTTCTGTCATTTGCTGAAGTGCTGGGTAGTGGTCACTTGAAATTAAAAACAGAAGGCACTAAAGCTAAGGTGATAGAAATGCTTTTTTGAGCATTAATAAATTTTGAAAAAAAAAAACAATGTGCTGATGGGTTTAGTTAGAGGGTAGCTTTAAGTAAACATGATTATCTCTTCCTCACTGAATGGAGGACAATGTTTAAAAGTTTTAAAATCTTTACAAGAATTTAACATGCTAATTTTTTATTTCATATTTTACATATTTAGATTTTTCCTAATAATGCAAAGTAATTCAAGTAGTTCACATGAAATCATAAAAAGAGAAAATAAACTTAAAATCCCTACAATAAATTTCTTATTTTATTATTTCTCTTTGTTTTCATTAATAAAACCTCAAAAATATGCCATAAAAGTGAGGGAAATGATTGATGAAATCCTGAACCCAATGGTAAAATTGGTCATTTCTTTTGGGCCTTTTTTCCCCCCCACAACTGAAATTTTCATGAAATTCTTAATTTCCCCAGTTCTTTCCAGGCAAAGGAAGTTGGTCATTCATTGTTGGGGTCTTATATGTGAGGTATTCATTGACATTCTGGTATCAGTGTTCTAATTTCTTTGTTTTATTGTATTTTCTTATATACCATGCTACGTGTACAGACCATGTTTTCACAATAGTAAGCATTTACAGCTTTTTATTACTTGAGGTTTGCACAAAACAGCACAACATCAAATATGGATAGAGGAGAAATATATTGTATTTCTTATTTTCTTTAAAAATGAGGCTATTTTAAACCATGTGTGTGTGGAAACTGTTTTAAAAGTGCAGGTTGCATGCTTTAAGAAAATATGACCTCTCAAATAATACAAGGCACAGATCAGTGTGAATTACATGCTAATTTTTAGGTTGAATTTTGTCTTGTTTTTGTCGAAACTCCAACAAGCTCTCTAGATATTTGGTTGACGACATCCTTAAGAAGTGGGAAACCTGGAAAGGAAATCGCAGAACTAGTTTAAGCCTAGCAAGGTAAACTTAACCTAAAAAATGTATTTGCTTGATATTAACCCCAAATAACAGGTGTTATGACTGATATATTAAGATTGAAACATGGTGCCAGATGGTCCAGGATTCCTGCCACATTTTAGACTTTTTGTAAAATAATAACATCACTGTAGTAAAGACATATTTATACATATTTCTATGTATAAAAATATATAGAATTTTGCTTGGAAGTTCTAGATACTTCATTTTCTATCATATAGCCCTCTCCCCATGGGGTGGGAGAGAGAGAAGCCCACATGATGAAGCTACTGTGATGAGTAATATTTTGTGTAATTTCTATCCTTGAACCATCTTTAGCTACCATCTATACCAAATGACACATTGAACTTTCCTCTAATGATAAATTCTGTGACTGTTTTTTCAAATATACTATTAGGTTGAGTGTACATTATTGCCAATTAGAAAAGATGATTCTTCACTCTCTGTTTAAGAAAATCTAAAAGCCGTGACTCACCTTTCCCCCACTCTCCTCCTCTTCTGTGTTCTGATGTAAATCATATTATGTCTATAGAAGATATTATCTCTTAAAGTGATTTCATAAATACCAGATAATATATTTTTTCATCAACTACAATGTTATACACATTTTCTTCTCTGTTCTATGTTCTTACGATCAGAATGGCTTCTCTTCCACACACACCATTTGTATTTATGTTAAATTCCTCCATGCTACCTGGAAGAAATTGAATCACACTTAGGCAGTGATTTAATGGATTCCTTAACAGGTTGCTTTGCATTTTACTAGAGGGCCGCTAGAGGCAGACAAATTGTAACACACATTTTCAGTGATGGTTTTAAGGTCCTCAGACAAAAAACCCAAGTTAAAGTCTCACAAACCTCAGTCACATGTATATAAGGCCAGCTCTACAACCTGGCTGAGACCTGCTAGTCTTTGCTATTGAGTATCTCATATCTGGAATGCCAGAACCTATCCAAAGTCTTCAGGTACAAACAAGAAACAAGAGCTTCAGTATAGAACTGAGATTTGGACAAAGAGAACAAGACATTATTCTTAATAAAGCTAGGGAACAGAAAATGGAATCCAGAGACTAAAGACACATCAGACAAGTGGACCACATGTTAGATTCTGTCTTTCTTGGTTTGCCATTGACAAGGTTTATGAGCGGGATCAGACTACAAGGCAGAACTGTGGTAAAGAGAATAAATCCAAGAGGCAGGGGAAATCATAGTGCCTGGGTCCAGTCCATGCTGTCTCTCGGAGTGGATGGAGGACATTTGCCTGCCTGTTTCTCACAGTTCTTCTTTTTCCAGACAATTGGAGAAACTGTTTTATGGGATGCCAACTGAAAGTTTGATTCCTGGTGAAAAGTGATTCTTTCTTACTG